GAAGTGGGAAAGTGATTGAAGCCAAGATGTCAGGTCAGGACTGGTAACACTGCAGATTCTTTTTTGGATTTTATCTAGTGCTACTGTAAATCTTGTTTTTCATTTCTTGTATTTTTACTCTGTTTCTCTGCTCTTTTATTTTTACAGTTTGATGTCAGAGTTCATCAGTGTTTCATCCAATTTTAAGTGTTGCTTAATAGATAATTATATTTCTTACACTGATGTATTTATGCAATGACAGAAATTAATAATTATAATGCCAAGATCTGCTGGTAATCTCTGACTTAACTTAGTTTTCTAAGTACGAGTTCTTTTTGTAAAATGGCTAAACAATGAAACACTAGATTTTAAGTTTGCCGTCTTTTCTCTGCCTTGGATTGGCTTCAGCCCAGTTAAGTACAAAATACACATATCTTGTTTCTTGGTACAATATTCCCACTTTGATGCTGCTCATGGACCATGGCTGATACATGCTTCTGTAAAAATCAATGTGCACTGTGTTTTCTCATTGCACACTTAGTCCTTACTAAATCTCTCTTTAATCTCCAAGTGCATACCATCTTGGTTATGCTGTATTTTTGTGCAGCATCACAATTGTTGTGAGATTTGGCATATGCAGTTACTTTCAGCTTTAAGCTAGCTTCATATTTCCTTTTGTTTATCAGTTGGAGCTATGATGGGGATTTTATGGTAGCCGGGGATTATTGTTCGTCTAGAACGAATGCTGCTACTTGTGAAGAGGTGACACTTTCAGCTTTAAGATTGGCCCGCAGAGTTCTATACTACAGGCCTGTTCATGTTGCAAGTAAGAGTCTGAACTGTAGGGCTATTTCAAAAACTCTTTGTTTCACTGGAATTTAGCTGGTTTACTTTCAGTTTGGGTTTGAAGTAATCCACTGCTGTATTAGGCTTAAGATATTCAAATTAATTTTTTGCTTTTCCTTTTGGAATAATTTTAGCTGAAATAGGTATGAGATTTATTTATTTCATCCCCTTCAGACTTGGTCTTTCCATTTGGAAGCTCATTTAACACCTTTCTCTTAATGTTTTGATTATTTCACCCCAAGAAAGGCAATAAAGCCACTAAGATGTAAAGGCAAAAGAATAGGAATGTAAAAGAATATAAGAAAAGGAATATAAATTTTTGAAGAGCAAAGTTAGCTGGAAAGCAAGAAACCAGAAGAGAATGCCACAAGTGAGAAGTGTGAGAAAAGAAACTGTTAGCATTTAACTAACGGTTACATCTATCCATTTTAACTGTAAAATGAAACCTTGGTTCAATCTAGTTATTTTCTTTTTCTGTGCCATGACCTTCAGAATGTAGGTGATCATGGCTCTCCACTTCTTCCTATCCTTTGTAGTTCTTGATAAGTTTTGTCCCTTTCCTACTTCCCCCAGGCCATGCTCTGTCATCCACTTAAGACCACCAGGTATGTCGTTCATTGCTTTCCCTTGTCTCTCTTTCCCTCTATTCGACCTGTGAGTATCAGATTCTCCAAGCCCTCCTTTCTCATTACGTGTCCCAGAAATTTCAGTTGCCTCTTCCTGATGTTAAGTATAAGCTTCTTCCTTGTTTGCATCCTTTCCAAAATCTCATTGTTGCTCACACACTCGGTCCATGATAACATTAGCATCCTTCTGTAAAACCATACCTCCGTCTCCGTGAGTCTCTTCTTAGTACTGCACTTAAATTCATAAAGTCTAGGTACCATAGAAGAAAGTTCACCAGAACAATTACCATGAAAGTATTTATAGAAATGGCACAAGGATGCTATATTATGACAGTAAGAAAGTGACATGCCAAGATGCCAGGTCAGAACCAATAACATTGCAAATTCTTTTTTGGATTTTATCAAGAATCTCTAAATATATAGACCAGATGCGGCAGCAATATCAATGCCTGGATGAATGGTAGACTTATAAATGTGTATAAAAGTTAAAAAAAAAACTTTATTACTTAAAGTTAATTTAATAGTTATCTCTATGAAATTTTTATACATTAACTAGCAGTAGAGCCCGGCGTTGCCCGGGGATGTAACAGTAAGAGATAGATCAAGTATCGACCATCATAAAGACTGAAAAATAAAATTGACAAAGATTATTGTTTAACGTTGACAGACACGCATGTCTTAAGTAGTTTTTTTTTTGTTTTTTTATGAATTGGTCAAACCGAAACTCAAACAAAAACATTGTTTACAATCGTTATGAGTCTACCGATTGAATAGAATTTTATTATAAACAATTGTCTTGTAAATGGAATTTTTAAAGCATTCTGAATGTAAAAATAAAGAAAAAAAGTGTGCAAGACAATAAGAAATACTACCTGCCAAAAAAAAGTGAAGTTTTGTTAAAATTGGTTGAAAAGTGTAGGAAATCCAATCCCATATATAAATGAACACACACACACACACACACACACACACACACACACAAACAACCTGGGTTTTATAATAAGTATAACTCGATATGAGTTGTCTCTCTTTCATTCCATGAAAACGATGCCTCTTAATCGTGTTTTCAAATTGATTTCATACACAAACAATTGTGTTTTTCCAATTTTTGGCACTGTCAGAACCACCGCAAGGTAATTTTACGTAGTCCTGTGAAGTTTTGTTGAAATCAGTGGAAAAATGTAGGAAATCTGATCCAATATATAAACGTACAGACACACACACACACACAACCCGAGTTTTATAATAAGTATGATTATGAACTTTAATTTCATTTTTGCATAATCTGCATTTCTGTTTCTAACAGGTAAAAAATATATTCGATTTTTACCAGAGTTCTTATACTGTAACTGAGTTTTGTCAATTGCAAAACGAGAAGGAAAAAATTAAAGGTCTACAGAAGGTAGTATCCTTTAACCAAAAAATGTATAATTTTATTTTTATTTTAATTTTATTTTAATTTTATTTGATTTAAAGTAATAATTGTTTCCTGCCTTACAAGTGTTAGAAACACCCTCTCAAGAAAGTCAGTGTTAATTTATAACAGACTTTTCTTCCAAAGACTCTCTTCCTCAATTCTGTTTTTAACATTGTCAAATGAAAGTTAAATTATCATTATTCATCCCATAAAATTAATTTAATATTTTACTCTATGATCTTGTTATTTGTAACAAATAATCAATAATAAGATTTAGTTTTTCATGTGTAATTTGTTTTTCTTTCTAAAAAGTTATTTTAAAAAATATGTTAAATTTTTGTCTAGTTTGTCATTAAAAATAAACAAAAAATAAAAACAAATGTAATATTTTTATATATGCAAAATGAAAATATCATTTGTTTAACTTTTCTCCACATATTTCTGAAATTCAAACATTTTGAAATGGGCCTCCAGTTCTGGCCCTTTGTTGCACCATGAGTATGCCTGTAGTATAGAACACCATAAATTAATCTAATATGAACTGCCCAATCACAGAGTGTTTTATTGGTAAACAGAGAACAAATACCAGTATGTTGCTAATCTAACAGTAGATTACTAAATGACAATTATTCCAAAAGTCCTCGCCTGGCTGAACACTCTGACAGAACCCTGGTATGAAAGAATGCTTTCCTAGACAGCATAAATAGAACACACCCACCTGACTAAACTGACCCTGGTTGATTGTTTACTGTTCCTCAGCTCTGGTAAATGACATCTACTGCTTTGTTTTTCTGTGCTGTTATTTTAAGGTATATTCGTCAGGTTTACATTTTTCCTTGATTTAATAGTAAGGTCTTATTAAGATAACTTCCCAATATATCTGTTTCAGTGGAAAATGCTGAGGAGTGTGAACCTCAAACTTCTACAAGGATTCACCTAGACATTAGTCACACTTTTGGTGTGGAACTATAATTTTCTTATTTTACTATGACAATGAATATTCAGATAATAATATTCTTTGACCATTAAGCATTAGCCACTGTGATTAAATAAAGAGAAAATTCAAAAATAGGTAGAAGAAAATAGGTCTCTCAAGACCAGTAGCTGTTATTGATCTTTCCAGTACTGATGGGGATTTCTTTCCTAACCTTTTATGTGAAGTAGTGTGGAATGTCAACATCTTGATTACGTCATTATTTTCTCTTCGAGTTATCCATTGTATCTCTTGCCACTGTTGGTAGTCTTCAGGTTTTTCTGTTGCTCTTATTTAGTGCAGTTCTTTGTTTCTGGTTTTGTAGTGCCAGTACACAATGTTTAAAGAAGGGATGTTCTTCATCAAGACCCACAGGCCATTTTAAACCAATGATCTTTGAAATTGGTTGTATACAGCTGACAGTTTAAATACTTCTTAGTGGGTCTGTTGCTATGTATGATATCTATATGAAAGTCTCAATCTGACATGACTATTTAGGAACATGACTCAAATTTTCAGGCAAATGTGTTGGTATTGTAGCAGTAGGGAGAGTATCGCAGCCTATTCTATGTTCAATTACCTTTTATTAGTAGCTAATCTGAATATGTCTGTCACAAGAAAAGAGAGAAAGCAACGGGGGGGAAAAGGTAGACTTTTTTCTACCTCTTTAATTAATGTTAATGGCTGGCCGCTCATATTGAAGGATACCCATCTACTAGGGCAGCAGTCTAATCCCTATTGCAGATGCTTGCTCAGGTGCATTTTGTGTTTGTTCAACACCCACAGAGCCCACCTGTGGTTTATACTGCAACTATGCTGACTCCGTGCTAGCACAGCTATCGATGGACCCCAAGCATTCCGTCTACCCAATTTCACTCACGAAGCTTTGGTCAACCCGTGGTATGGTTTTCAGGCACTTTCCAAAGGTGCCACATGATGGGATCACCTCCTCCAGACCAATAACATCAAGAAATCACCTTCCTGGCAAATCAACTATGTTGAGATACAAACCCCAGTCTCATGGTCAGAAAGCAAACGTTCAAGCCACTCAACCACATGGCCATATGGCTTTTACTTATGTTTATTTCAGAAGAAATAAACATAAGAAAAAGAGGGGTGCTTTTAGTCAACAAATTTTATACATCAGTAGCTCAGATTATGGCAATATCACTTTGAAACACGTTCATGTATGATCACCAAAGTTAAGCAATGTTGAGCCTGGTCAGTACCTAGATGGGTGAGCACTTGGCAATACTAGCTGCTGTAAGCTTGGATGTGTGGGTTGTCTAATGGATAATTACTCGGAATTGTTAATCGGAGAGCTGAATTCCAATTTCAATCGGGTTCATTATATTCACTTACACACAAATATTCCTGAGACAGGTATGAACCCATGTCTTCTCTCCCCAGCTATGGGTTAATTAGTAAAACTTGTGTCACTAAACCATCATTATTTCCAAAAAATAAAATAAAATTGTGTACAAAAATGTTTACATTTTGACATTAAATAAGCCATAGAGATAGATATGCTGCTAAACAACCAACCAACCAAGTAACCAAAAAGAATTTCGAACTGAAGCCATTATTTAATCTACAGTGGTAGATTGTTCTCATTCCACTGTGCATGTCTTATTTTAGTACTGACCAGTTTCCACTGAAGCCAAGTACACACTGCTTGGCCCATGGATTGAACTCATAATTATGTTACCATATTCATGAATCAGAGCTTTAATCTGCTATGAGCTTAAATGGATGTCTTAATTTATAAAAAATATATTTTCTTGACTTTTCCCAGTCACAAGTCAAAGTAATGTTTTTTTATTTATTTATTTATTTTTTACTCAAAGTAAGGCAAAAATGCCACTAAGATGAGTAAGGTTACTGGGAGTGAAAGAGAACAAGAAGACTTTAGTGAAGAGAAAGGATAATAAAAGAACAGTGGTCGGGAAGGCAGATTTAAAAAATTTTTTCAAGATTGCAGTGGCAGGGAAGCAAAAAATTGGAAAGGAATTCCATAGGCAAGACATTCAAGAAACTATTATTTTCTAGGACAAAGCTCATCCCCTTTAGGCTGGTTTTGAAGACAGTTTTTTTTCTCCTTGACTTGTTACCTCCTCAAGGTAAGAGAGTACAGTCCTGCTATTTAACCCGTAGCTGGAGGGCAAGTGGTGGATTTTTACCTTTCCCAAGGGTATTTGTGTAAAAGAGAATGCAATGAACTTGGTCATAATTTGGACCTGGTTTACTGATTTCTCTTTCTGATTGACTAATCCACACGTCCTTCCATTTTTTTTTTTTTAATCAGTTTCATTCCGTGTAAGGTAGAAAAGCCACTAAGATAAGGAGTTACAGAGTGTAAAAGAATTAGGAACAAAAACATTAATAATGAGTGGGTAGAGAAAAGATTAATCAGGAGGACAGTAGATAGCAATTGACACTGCATTTAAATTTTTGCAGATTAATACTGGCTGGAAAGCATGGAGCCAGAAGGGAGTTCCACAAGTGAGAAGTGCAAGAAAAGAAACTGTTTGCATAGAACTTATGACTACATCAAGCCAGCTTGACTGTGAATTGATAACCAGTCTAGTACTGTGTTTTAATTCCAAAGTCTAGGTACCATAGCAAAGAGCTCATCTGAACAAGAACAATGAAAGTATTTATAGAAAAGGTGTAGAGAGGCAACCTTATATGCTAATAAAGACCCATATTTTCTATCCTATATATAATTATTTATCCTAGTGGTTTTCCCCATCTCCCTTGAATTTGTTACTTTGGCCATATATGAGGACTGATCAAAAAGTATTGGGAGTGGAACCTTAAAAAGAAAACTACAAAACATTAATTCAGCATTTAATCACCTTGAAAATAGTCAGCTTTAGAAGCCACACACTTTATCCAGTGTCGTTTCCATTGATGGAAGCATTTCTAGAACTCCTTTTCTGAGATAGTGAGCAACTGCCTTGTCACATTCTTTTAGATATCCATGGTGTTTTGAAAGCTTGTTACTTCCAAGTAGGACTTGATTCTTAGGAAGATGAAAATGTCACAAAAGATCTGGGGAAATGTACTTGGCCAAAGACTGCCACACATGCCATTTTCACAGATGGAAACTCTGTGGTGTGATGAGATGAACACGCTCTAGACACTTTCCTTCCAAACACTGATATAAACTACAGAAGTCAACATGAATGTTTTAACTTTGTGTGTATACATGACTGAGTTTAGTGTGAGTCTGTGTATGTTAGCTTTGTTACAATATCAACAGTTCTGATACTTTTTGACCAAACCATACACACATATATATTTTGTTCCTCACTACTTGTACTATTTTTGAGTTTCATACATGAGACAATTGTCAAGTGTGGATTAAAAACAGTTTTAAAAGAGTGCTTGACAGTTGCCTCATGCATGAAGTTCAAGTGTGGTACCGAGTAGTGAGAAACAAAATGTATATTTATTATGAGTATAAATTTAACTTCATTTGTTATACATTGAGCTCTGTTTTATTATGACCAGGACACACTGTGTGCTACTCTTTATATATATATATATATATATATATATATATATATATATAAGAGAGAGATGTATATTGAACATTGAAGTCAACACTCAGAGGCAACAGGTTGTTTCATGCTAGACACAATTGTCAGGCCTGGCGATTGCATCTAGCATGAAACAGACTGTCATCTCTGAGTGTTGACTTCAATGTTCACTTTTATATTTATATTTACATACGCTCTATCTCTGATATTGAGCACTTTATCCCTTAAATATAGCACACTTTATCCCTTAAATATAGCACACCTTAAAACTATATTTCTTCATATATATATATATATATATATATATATATAAAAATGATAAAATATAGTTTTATGATATGCTATATCTATGAGTTAAAATGTTCAATATCAGGGATAGAGTATATACTGGTATAAAAAGAGGCTATTGAGGTCAACACCCAGCGTCAAGAATCTGTTTCATGCTAATCATCAACCATAGGCATTTTGTTTTGGTTGAACTATTTATATATGTTGGCCAGTGATGCATTATGGGTCAGTCTGTTGTATTTTTTTCTAATGGTTATTGAAGAGAAGCAACTTTGTTATGTTTTGAATTATCCTATAGATTATATATATTGTGTGTGTGTGTGTATATATATATATATATATATATATATATATATATATATATATATATAAAATAAGGATAAAATGATCTCAGAAAAGACACTGATAAAGGTCAAAATGTGGAAGGTGTCCTTTTTTAAATGTTTGTTTTGTTGCAGTTATTGTTTCCATTGTTAGGCAGAATTAAAATTCTGGTTTGAAACAGTTGTATTCCCTTCATGCTTATACCCCTAGGTAAAACATGAATCTATCTATCTTTCCTCCTTTCAGCTATATGCAAAATAGCAAGGCAAACTAGCTTTGACAAAGAGTTCAAAAGCATGAAGAAAGCAATAGAAAACCACTCCAGCCAGATCTCAGAATAATCATAGCAATTCATAATTTTAAAATATTTAAGGAAAGGAAGCTGTTGAGAGCTTTAGTCTTCTTCTTTTTCTGAGGGGGTATTTTTTAAAACATTTTTTATTGCTTAAATTCTTTAACATATGCAAGCTTGTACAATTTCTCCTTGCTTCTCTTGGTTAAACAAACAGCAAATTTTATCTTGATTTTGCTTCATTTCTTGAGCTGACATATAAGATGCCTTGGCTTTGGGAGATATTTTTAAGGTTTCTAATGTCAATTTATATATTACATTTTATGGTATTTTTTTTTCTGTAGTTCTTGAACAGATCCCAAAACCTACAGAATTGTGCAGTTCCTTTTTATCAACATAAAGCACTATGATAAAGTTCTTTGTAGTTTTCTCAAGTGAGAAGCCTGATCCTCCATTCTTTCTCTTTCCATTATTATTGCATCGAACTAGAGTTTTTAATCAATTAACAGCTTTTTACTAATTTTCCATGCATCCCAGAAATTGGGTTTGAGATTGTTTTTTTATTTTAGTTTTTCCGGTTCCCTTGCAAACTCAACAGAAGAAATACTGGTGATGATTCGCAGTGTCCTTAAGGCACTTCAGGAACACTTAAAAGACGGATATATAAAAACAAGTCGAGGTTCATTTCTGTTAAGAACTCCCATTTTTAGGAAATGTCTATTTGGTTTTATGCATTCAGAATGTCTTTAGGCTTTATACAGAATGACTTTCGGCAAGAGAAGCAACTTTGTTTTTGTTTATATAGTTGAGAAACTGACAGTACAGTTTATTATCTTTCTTTTTTTTTGTTTTTTTAAACACATTTTTTTGTTATTATTGTTTTTATTTGCTAATGGAACTTAGAGAAATATTTTTTAATATTTTTTAATATTTTTTAATATTTTTTAATAATTTGCTTATTGTTGCAAATTTCTCCTTCTGTCTAATATTGTCATAATTTCTCTGTGGACATATGTGAGCATATTATTAGTTTAAATCCAATTTCATTTATCTTGCTTCTTCTTTCTATTTTTAAAATAAATTTCAAGTATTTGTTTTAATCTTTTTTTTCCTTTTTAAATTTTATACTTTTCATTTAAATAAACAATTCTGTGTTTATAAAATAAGAATATAAAACAATTATATCGTTTTACTACATAAGAAGATGGAATGGAATATACAATTTTGAGCAAAATAGGCAGTCCCAGATGGAGAGGGGGACATTAAAATTAAACAAGTGTGGGAATTTAGTTTCTAGTAGTGTCATAAAAGCTGAGAGAATTTGTGGGGCAGAAATTCAGACATACTGGAATAATAAATTACAATTTCCAAAAGCTGAATAAAGTACTAATTTTCAGAATTAATAAAGTACCAATTTCCAGAAGCTGATTAAAGTACTAAGGAATTGAAAAATAGCATTAGAACAAAAAAAATGTGTGGGATTGCAATATTATGGCTGTCCTTCTGTTAATTTTCAGATGTTGAATTGTAATAGTAATATTAGCCTCTTCCCTCCAAGGAAACATTTGGCATTCATTAACCGAGCACCCAGTACTGCTTTCACTTGAAATTTATCAAATCTTTCTCTTAAAACAATTTTTCAGGAAAATTATTTTCTCAAGTCCAGTAGCTGTTATTGTTGTTTTCCAATATATATATTTTTTTAATTATTTCACTCCAAGCAAGGCAGTAAAGCCACTAGGATGCAAGTGTTAGAATATGAGAAGAACTATTATTAAGGAGAGAGGACACTTGAAAGAACAAGAATTAAGAAGACAAG